GCGGGCCTACGGGCCCACCCCCGAAGCACCCCAGCTGCTCTGCCCCAGGCATCCCCAAGTCAGCTCTGATTAAACTGACCAGTGGCTGATTCTGGTCAGCCGCTGGCCAGTTTCAGCAGCGACTGAATCAGGGACGCCTGGGGCAGAGCCGGACTACCAGAAGGGGGGGCTATGAGGAGTCTGGGGTGGCATCCCCCCCTCTCCACCCCAGACCTCTCATAGCCCCCCCTTCTGATAGTCTGGCATATCTGATAATCCGGCACCCCCTGGGTGCTAAAGGTGCCGGATTATCGGAAGTTTACTGTAGATCCAAACAAATAATAGCCATCTATAGAAACTGCTATGTAATTGTCATTCTGAAAAATTACACAATGAAAGCCAAATTCACCCCCAAAGTAAAAAGTACTAAGTCTCTGTAGTCAGTTCATTTACAGCAAAACTCAATTTGGCTTTAATGTCTGTTCAATAAAATACACTGAGTACTCTCCCTTAAAGGAATAAAATGAAACAGAACAAAAAATACTCCACATCAAACAAATAGAGCAGACCTAAAACAATTAAAACTACACTTATGGAAATACTGCAACATTTGAACACATATCTTCATTCAATATCTTATGGATTTTAAATCAAGTGTGTCGGGTCACTTTTAAGGTACTTTCTGGAAATTACCTTCAGTTACTCACCTTTGCTCAGTTCCTGGACAAAAATACCAATCTATAGTAGGGGCAGGGAAGCCAGCAGCCACACACTGGAGCATGCCATTGCTAAGTCTGTCTGAAGTGAGAATCTCTGGTTTTGCTGCAATAAAATAAGTGAATAATCATGCTTTCCATGAACAAAATAATTTGCATTCTGATTTACTCCTAATTCTGGTTCTAATCTTGCCAGCATTTATGCATTTTGTTTCCATTGGACTACTCACTTCCATAAAGTTGTGCATGTGCATAAGTGTTTGCAGGATTAGGGCCTTTTCTTCATTATCATTTTTAACACTGACTACCTATGAAAATAAATTCAATTTAGAATGATTAATTTGACATTCTTGGCTAAATTTTCCAAAGAAGGCAAAAGCAAACCAGTGTTTGGAATTAAATTGCATTCTAATTGCATTAAATTCCTAAAAAGTAAGACATCATTGATTCATTATTTTACAAAAAATTGTATTGAGTATTCCTTTCCTCAAGACAGTATATTTTATTTTAGTATATCAAGAAATAACAAAATTGCTGTGTTTATTTAAAAGATTGTTATCTGAGCACAAGAAGAGAATGTACCAATAAAGCAGAATTTCCATACAGTGATCCAGTTTTTGAGAACTTTTGGAAGAAGAGGCAATAACAGAGTGTAACAATAACAGAGTTTTGACAACTTTTCTAAAACACTCCATGAGGATTCATTTAATACAGATTTTGGACAGTTCTAATAAATGCAGAAGTCACATTTACCACCATATGTACCTTAGCTTCCTTTCAAATAACTGAAAGTGATGCTAATGGAAGATTCAATCTGTAATCTCCAAGGACACTGAGTGATTCATAGATGCCATTAAAATATCTTATTAATGCATTACTTTTCATAGACACATAAGACCAAATTCTCATGTGCTGTAAATTGATGAAGCTGTATTGACTTTAGTCAAGCTATGTACATTTACACCAGCTGTGATCTATATACTGTAACTTGTTTGTGGATATAAATTTCATTGTCTATTATATTTCCTAATTAAACTTGATGCAATAAAACACATTAAAATCCTTAATCGTATCCTCACTTACTAGTGAGCCATGTTAAAAGAACTGAAAGCTTCCTTACCTCTAAATTCACATGTAATTTTTTATTTAAAGCATCAGACAATTAACCTTGTCGCAATATGCTGGGTTCTATTTGCAACATAGTGTAGAACAGTCTGATCATGCACATATTGGACAACTGGGGAGTTTATGGAAGATATCTAACATTTTTTCAAGCCCGACTTTAAAACAGTCACATTCAAAAAAATGTTTTACTTAGTTAAATTTGATACTGACTGATGAGTGCTTTCAAACTCATGATGACCCTTTCGAAATGCATATTGTACACTTGGCAATATACAGTTCAGCACAGATTACTGCCAGAAGAAGCCGGACAAATTAATAGTCAAACTGAATTTAAGAGGAAATTGAACATTAGATGCTTTAAAAATATTATGTAGGGCAAAGCCTGAATCTAGGATTTCTAGCACTGAGTGAAGGAAACCAAAATTAAAAGTATTGCAGGTCCACTGTTCAGTATAAGCCAAGTACAACAACATGGAAAACAGTACTGAAAAGTTGTACACTATGAGATGCTATGCCTGAATCTAAACTTAGTTACATGAGCATCAATCTAGAGTAACTCCATTGAACACTGGAGCAGTGAAAGTGAGATCAGAACTGGGATTTCTGTATTATAATAAACAAGCAAGCAATCAAGCAAACAAACAATCATCTAACTACACGCTTACAACTCACTGGTGTTAACTACGATTTCCCCTCCAGAAAATTCTTATGAGAAGATATAATTGGATCTAAAACCCAGCTATCAAATCCAGACTCTGTAAGCCGTTTGTTTGTTTTCCTGAGCTAGCCTCTTCTACTCCTCTCATTTAATGCAGTAAGGTGTCCCATCAGGAATTAAATGAATGAAATCAAGTTTACACTAGTTTTGGCAAGTGTGGTCACAGAATTTCTCATTAAGTCATCCTGTTCCAAGAAATATTTCACTATGATAAGTTTTATGACTTCCAACATTTAATTATCCTCAGTACCAGATAGCATTTTAATGATCATATGTTGCTTACTGATTTGGCTATAACATGTTAATTATTTAACGTTTCATTAAATTGTTCTGTATACTAGCATATTCCCTTTAATACTCAATCATTACATGCTTTAAATCTCTAATTTCATTAAGTTTATTAACTGTTATTCAGCTCTTCTTGATGTTTATTCCAAACATAATAAAGAGGAACTAAAGACACCCTCCTATTTATAGCTTGATGGTCTGATCGTGAACATTGTTGATTTAATTAGTTTTATTACAATTTCTTTTTCCTTTACCATTAGCAGAGGAAAATAAATATTTAAAATTAACACTTCTATTGCCATTGTTGATCATTGTAGTCACTGGAAGAAGATTTTCTTGCTATTGCTTCTAGATTTGAATTAGTCTCTTTAAAATATAACGGCAACTTCTACACACTTCCTATATTTACAGAAAGGCTTTCTGATAGCTGGGAAACTGTCAAATTTAGCAGCAGGGGATCTATAAGATCACGGTAATAACATGATTAGTTTCCTACCTGTAGCATCATCCTTAATTGCATGTATAATTTTTGCTGATTGTCATGAAACCTATATTTAAGTTTGAAAATATCTTCATTAATTCCTAGCTAGACTGTAGTTACTAATCTCAAAATTTCTCCCATTTCTTAATTGTTACTCCCTTCAGCATGCTGTTTGTCAATTTATATATGTATCTTTGACTCTTTATTTCAAAGCTCCCTCCTCAAGTTAATTTGTGTTGCATTTACTGTGACCCAAAGTCTTTGTTTAGCAATTCTGTATTACATGAGCTTAACATTTCCTCCTACCAAACTTATTTTAATGCAGTGCAGACAGTTTTACACAAAGATTTCATATCTTCTAAAAAATTATTCAAAATGGAAACTTTCTTAAAAAATAAAATAAACAGATTCTCCTCCTGATAATGAATCCAGTTGTTCATGTTTATTTAGTATCTGCTGCCAAGGTCTGACGCACAAACATTAGAAGCTATATCCTGGCAATTTAAGCAAAACTACAGGTTGTCCCTCCCCTGGTCCAGTACCCTTGGGACCTGAATGATCCCGAACCAGGAATTTGCTGGACCAGGAGAGGTCAATGCAATGGGGGGATCTGCTTTTTCCTGGCCTCCCAGGGGTTCCACTTTTTCCTAAGGCAGCTCCACTGCTACCCAGGACTCTGCTTTCCCCACAGTGCCAGGGAAAGGGAGCTCCACTTTTCTCTCCTCCCCCCCACTTAGCTGCCACTCAGGGCTCCACTCCCCCACCAGGACTCCTCTCTCCCTGCAGTGGCTGAGGACTCCACTGCCATCCAGAGTGCCACTCTCTCCCCAGTGGCTTTACGGCCAGCTGGACCAGGGAAATCTGGATTACAGAGTTTCAACCTGTACCAACAACTTCAATGAGAGAGATGAAAATACAAAACACCAGAATCTGGTCCGCAGACATTACAAAGCACTGGAATAACAGTTATCTATTTATTAATCAAACCACTGTAAACATGTTGTTTGTCTTTCATATTAAGAAGAAATGAACAATGTATATATTTTAAAAATATAAATCTAAAATTTATAAAAGATATGTCTGAATGAAGAAGCTAAAATGTATGAAACAGTAAGAAAATATTGACAGGCCAAATTACCTGAAAGCTTGTATAAATATGAAAGACCACTACAAATGATTTTATTTTAAATTCCAAAGGAAACTTTTTTTAAGCAGATAAAATTGTCAACATTTCCCTGTGAGGTGCTGCATGCCTCCTTTGAGGTGGCTAAAAACCCTCAACTGCCATTAACAGTTGTAGCAAAAATGAGAGCCATGTGAATACTGGTGTCTGTAAGTAAGCGGGGGAATGTTCCTGCTATTGTGGGGAACTTTCCTGGCTTCTATACCACCCCGGTGAAATGGACCAGCGAAAGGATCTGAGTCCCCGCTCCCACTTCCTTTACCCCACGGCCTCCCTGATCCTTAGGGCTCCCTTTCCACTCTCCTGAGTAACAGAGTCCTCGAAACCCCAAGAAGGCTGGGCCCAAGTTTCCTGGGGCTTAATCCCCAACCTTGTAGTCACTTGGGACAGGGGCTAGGGTGTCCCCACTCTGGGGTGCTCTCGTCACACAGCATGCTTTTTTGGCCCAGTGATCATTTCATAAGGTTCAAAGCAAATACAATTTATTAAACATCAACTGATTAAAGAGAAAAGAAGAAGAAAAAATGAGAATGGTTAAATGAGAACACACAGCCCTGCTCTGTAGCACAGGGACATCAAAACAGCAGTCTGCAGAGTGTAAGGACAGTCTCTTCCTTAGAGGCCCCTTAGAGGCCTTGGATGTGCTGCGGGGGGCGGGGGCTGCAGGCTAGACACGCTTGCTCTGACAGTGACCACACAGCCTCAAGCGCTAAGTGGCCAGACCCCTCTCCCAGTCCAGAGCCTTTCCCCACACTTTGCAGTTCCCTGCCCAGAGCCTCTCCCCGCACTTTGCTGGTCCCAGCTGCTCACCACACCCAGCTGCAGGCTGTGCTGCTTTGCCAGTCTCCAGCTCCTTGCGTTGCTTCTCTGTCCCTTTTGGCTCTCTGAGCACTGCCAGTCTGCTGCTCAACACGGTCTGTGCTCCTTGGGCTGTGTGTGCCTGGCTCTGTTGCTGCAGGACTGCCTCTCCACACAGCTTGCTCCTCTTAGCTGTCTCTCAGCTCTCCTCTTGCTCAGAGAGACCCAGAAAAATCCCAGCTCACAGGAAGGACGGGGCCTGGCCTCTTACTTTCCTCACTGGCCTGTCCAACCTGTCAATCAGGCCGAGCTGGAGTGTTGGCTGCTTTCCATTGTCTCTGGGGTCTGTCAGTCTCAGGGCCCTGATTTTTCATGGACCCTTCCCCTTTTGATACTGGGAGCTGGCAAACCAAAAACTCCCACAGAGTTTTAGTAAGGGGCTAACAGTCTCCTTACATGTACACACAAGCGGCTCCAGACAAACTCAGTCACAAGACATTTATCTGATGCCCCAGTTGCAGAAGTGGCTGTGAGCAGCCACTAAATAATACACTGCCAAATTGTTCCTAACCTGCTACCTAATACTGAAAGGCTTTGTTAACCTAGAGTGCCTACATTGAATCTCTGAACCCAGAAGCACTTGCTGTGAAGAACTGACAGACAGATATGAAATACCAAACCTGAGAGATCCAGTCAAGTTCACAGGAACTGATGGCCACACATTAGAACTCACAATTCCTTTAGTTCCCTCCCAGAAGTCAGAGTGCTTGTGCAAGAATACAGTCTAGCAGCTCTGCAAGTTGGAAGAGCCATCTCAGGAAGTTCTTCCTGGCTGGCAAAAGACATCTGAGATCTTCTAATTTCAGAAGTCACAACTCAAAAGATAGAAAGGCAAACAATACAGATGGATAGTCTCACAGACCAAAGAGAAAATGTGTGTTCCAAATGAGCCCTTGTATGGCAACACAGTAGCGGCATAATTGGTAATGTGCTATAATACTGCAAATGGTGATAGTGTGCAAAACACAAATGTCAACCCCCAGCAATACATGGGAGCAATTCAGTAATTGGTGCTGAACATTTAATACAATTATTGTAACCTAAAAAAAAGTCATTCTATAAACTGCAATATATCTCTAGAGAGAAACATTTTGTAATTAAAATAAATCAATAGCATAGTATTTGGTGTAAATTTACATTTCTGTATTATGGATAATGCTGCCACATTTTTCAGTGTCTTAGTTCTACTAATTTATTACTTTTACCATTCAGCTTGCAGTGCACAATGCAGGCTTACCTCTCTTGGTCTCCTTAGCTTCTTCCTTTTTCTTGTAATACTAGATTGCTTTGATTTTTGTTAAATTTGATCTTACTAAATAACATTTTTTTCTTGCTGTGAGCATAACATTCTTACAAGATGGCCTTACTGTTTCATTTCCTATGCTGAGCTTTTATCTGGAAGAATGCTGTTTTGCATCTAAACTAAAGTTTTGGAATTTACACTTCTACAGTTATGTGGGCCATTTTGAAAAAAGACTATATACATTATTTTGCAGATATTATAAGATTGTCAAAATGCTACTATAACCTACACACCTACAGGGTGTGGTTCACTGTCCCATGTAGTGGCACTTAGATCACTTAGGCTACGTCTACACTGCAGTCTTCTTGCACAAGAAGACTTTTGCGCAAGAACGTCTTACACAAGAGCACATCCACACCTGAAAGAGCATCGCAAAAGCCATGTGCTTTTGCACAAGGGAGCATCCACACTGTATAGATGCTCTTGAGCAAGAAAGCTCTGATGGCCATTTACAGAACGGCCATGAGAGCACCTGTGCTTTTTCCCATAGGCGTTTCTTGCACAAGAAACCCCTGCAGAGCGTCCACAAGTGCCTTTTTGCGCAAGAACTCTTGCACCAAAAGGAATTGGGCCTTTTAAAAGGAGGTTTACCTACATCAGAAAAAGCCCTCTGTTCTGCCATTTTACTGATGATTTATTTGGGCAAAAGCGCATTTGAGGTATGGCTGCTCCTCAGGTTTTTGCGCAAAAATGGTTGGTTTTGCGCAAAAACCTTGCAGTGTAGACATAGTCTTAGGGTACATCTACATAGCAACTTTATTTCAAAATAACTAACATCATTTCAAAATAACTTAGTCCACGGCTACACAGCAGGCAGTTATTTTGAAATGTCAAAATATTGTCAAGCTAGAGGACTTCTTACTCCAACTCCTGTAACCCTCATTATACAAGGAGTACAGGAAGTCAGAGAAAGAGTGCTCTATTTCGAAATAAATGCTATGTAGACGTTACCAATTTCGAAAGAAGCTATTTCAAAATAAGTTACACATAGTACTCTCAAATTTATATCTTGATATTTACATAATCTTACAAACTGTATTTCATATAGGGATGCCAGGTGTCCAGTTTTGAACCATAGAGTCTAGTATTTCAGCTTTCTGTCCGGGAAGCAAATTGAGAAAATACTGGACATATAATGTCCGGTATCTTCTAATGAAGTGTTTATTATTATCATGAGTATCAGTACGTAGTTGCATACTGCTTGGCTGGTAGACATGCTCACACTGCGTGAGCATGTCTACCAGTCAGGAAGTATGCAACTACATAGTGGAGAGGAGGGGGGTGGGGCTTGGGAAGGATAGAAACGCTGGGGCCAGACTCGCCCATGCGCCCTGCCGGGAATGTGCACAGGAGGGGCAGCACCCCATGATCTGTGTGTGCCCAGGCCAGCCCCGCTCCCCACTGGCCGGTTCTCCCCCCTCCTGCTCACTGCACCCCTCTCCGGCCAGCCCTGCTCCCCGGCAGATGGTTCCCCCCCCCGGCCAGCTCTGCTCCCCTCAACCCCCTCCTGGCCAGCCCTGCTTCCCGTTGGCTGGTTCTTCCCCCACCCCAATATCCTCTGGCCAGCCGTGCTCCCCCTGACTCCCTCCAGGTCAGCCTCGTTCCCCGGCAGCTGGTTTCCCCCCGCAGCCAGCTCCTCTACCCCAATCCTCTCCTGGTTAGCCCTGCTTCCTGCCGGTCAGTTCCCCCTTACCCCATATCCCCCGGCCAGTCCCACTCCCCACAACCCTCTCCCGGCCAGCCCCGCTCCGCTCCTGGCCAGTTCCCCCCCCCCCCCCCCCCAATCTGAGATCAAGTGTATCCGGTATTTTTTTTAAACCATCCGGTAACCCTTACTTCATATTAAATATTATCTCTTATGCTGAACCATCTTGTACATAAATTGAGCTTTGTAAAATGCAGGTGTGATGTTAAAAGATTTCAGACTGTTCATTTTACTTACTGTTCACATAGACATTAAATGTTATAGAGGACTTGGCATCAGAATTGGATACAAAAAATGTGTAAATGCCTCCTTCTGTTCCTTTTAGTCTGGTAAGGTGAAGCTCACTCCTATATCTGCAAAGACACAGACATTAAATATTACGTTTATTACACATTAAGTACATGGAAGACCAGTTGTTAATGTGATAGAAGTTAATTTAAAGATATTCTGAATGTAAATAAAACAGACTATGTCCCAGTTTATGCTGAAAACCAAATTTCACTATATTTAAAACTCTCTTAGAGCTAAACCTTGCCCATTGCCTATAAAAGTGCACAAAAGGATCCTAAAAGTTTTTGCATATGCATCAATATGAACAGTATAGGGGTTTAGTAGGGATCTGGCCATAGTTCACAAGCATGTGCTAGCAAATATAGTCAGCTGGCACATCACAATGACCACGGAGAGGGCATGATTATGCATAAATAAATGAGCATCTATGTCATTATCCACACCAAGAAATCACCAAGAACAGCAAGAATGGTTCTCCTATACCAAAAAGTTGAAAACAAGCACACTCTAAAGCATAATAAGCCAGTATCCTACCTTGTAATGGTATGTCTACACTGCAAAGTTAATTTGAAATAACAGCTGTTATTTTGAATTAATTTTAATAGCGTCTATACATGCAAACCTCTATTTTGAAATTAATTCGAAATAGCAGAGTGCTTAATTCAAATTTGGTAAACCTCATTCTACGAGGAGTAATGCCAATTTCAAAAATGCTATTTCAAATTAAGTGCTGTGTAGACACTTAATTCGAAATAGGGGGCCTCCAGCCCTTCCCAGGGAGCCCTGGTGGCCACTCTGGGCATAACCAGGAAAACTTACTCTTCTCTCCTCCAGCCCCAGAGCCATTAAAGGGGTAGACTGGCCACAGTGCCTGTGCCAGCTCCAAGCCTGCCAGTCCAGAGCCAGTAGTGGCCACCAGGGCCCCTGGCCCAGGGGCCTCAAAACATGAGCCAGCAAGCCACTGGCAGTCAGCCCTCCACCGCTCCTCAGGAGCAGTCTGCCAGCTCCCAGGAGCCTGACAGGAGCTGCAGAAGGCAGGTACCTTCCTGGTCCAGGATGGAGATCATGGACCTTATTCAGGTTTGGGGGGGATGCCCCAATGTCCATGATCTCCGCACTAGATGGGGGAACATGGCCGTCTATGGCAGGATAGCTGCCAGCCTCACCACCAAAGGCCACATGTGAACCCAGGAGCAGGTTTGCATGAAAATCAAGTTGGTCCAGCGAGACCCCCAATCCTGAGCCCTGAGCTTCCCCTCCCCCTTCTTCCCCTTGCTTTCCCGTTGCTTCCCCTTCCAGCTCCCTCCTCCCAGGTTTCCCCCTCCCCTCTCCCATCCTCTCTCTTCCCCTCTCCCATCTCCTTTCCCCAGTCTCCCCAGAGGTTTGTCCTCCCCCCCAATTTTGTTCAATAAACCCAGTTTCTATTTTTGAACATACATACCAGTTTCTATTTTATTTGACATCAGGAAGGGGGGCTAGGGAGGGGTAAATAGAAGGACGTGAGGGAGGAATGGGGCACAAGCCGCCGGTGGGGAGGACCAGAGTGGCTCTGAGGGCTCCTCAGGGTGGACGCACTCCCACAGGACCTCCTGGATCCTGACAGCCTCCCAATGGACCCCCCCCAGATGGCAGCCTGCAGCAAGTGCAGCCGATCTGATGGCAACGACCCCACAAGATGCACCAGTGTGCCCAGGGGCAGCTCTGGCTCCATGTGGCTGAGTGCTGTGGTGTCCTGAGTTCAGGCACTCAGGGCACTCCAAGACAGGATGCTTTGCTGTCCCTCATTGAGATAGACAAGCACGTGGGGAACTGTCGTCCGGGGTGAGCTATTTAAACACGGAGCTCAGTTAGCCTCAGGCAGCAGCCCCACATACTAAGTCCTAACCTGATGCCCTGCTGGCACTGGTTCTGGTCAGCCTTAACTTCGATTTAGGGTCCACTCAGTGTGGACGCGTTATTTCAAAATAAGATTTTATGTGTAGCTGCGTTAATTAGAATTAGCTTAATTCAAATTAACTATTTCAAATTAAGATAATTCGAAATAGCGCTGTAGTATAGACATACCCTAATAGAATTACTTTGGCATTGCTCTTTCCTCAGTTCTTTTGTGGGGTGGTTTCAGGGGATGAATTCTTTTGTATCTCTCCACCCTCACCTTCTGTTGGAAAATTCCTGTCTCAAATCTGTCCTGTTTATAATTACCCATATTACCTGTTATTGCCCACAGTCTTGAATTTGACATAATGATCAGATGAATTGTGTAATGTTTCATTCATATATAACCACACTTCTTCTTCTGGTCTTGGATAAGCCTCATACTCAACTATTAAATTTAAATTTTCTCCAGCATTCACATCTATTGTTGTATTCTTCATAGTAGACACATTGACAAATCCTTTATCTGATTGCCAAAAAAAGAAAAACAAAAACAATGTTAAAGGCAATTCTTTATTCAGTCCTTCAGTATTCTTTTATACAGTCTTCAGTAACAATTCAAAATTATCTGGACAAATTGGAGAAATGGTCTGAGGTAAATAGGATGAAGTTTAATAAAGACAAATGCAAAGTACTCCATTTAGGAAGGAACAATCAGTTTCATATATACAGAATGGGAAGCGACGGTCTGGGAAGGAGTACAGCAGAAAGGGATCTAGGGGTTATAGTGGACCACAAGTTGAATATGAGTCAGCAGTGTGATGCTGTTGCAAAGAAAGCAAACATAATTCTGGGATGCATTAACAGATGTGTTGTGAGCAAGACACGAGAAGTCATTCTTCTGCTTTACTCTGTGCTGGTTAGGCCTCAATTGGAGTATTGTATTCAGTTTTAGGCACTGCATTTCAAGAAAGATGTGATGAAATTGGAGAGGGTCCAGAGAAGAGCAACAAGAATAATTAAAGGTCTAGAGAACATGACCTATGAGGGAAGGCTGAAGGAATTGGGTTTGTTTAGTTTAGAAAAGAGAAGATTGAGGGGGGACATGATAGCACTTTTCAGCTATCTAAAAGGGTGTCATAAGGAGGAGGGAGAAAACTTGTTTATCTTGGCCTCTGAGGATAAAACAAGAAGCAATGGGCTTAAACTGCAGCAAGGGAGGTTTAGGTTGGTGTGACGACGCGTTGGGGGTCCCCCGTCTCCTGCACCCCAAAATGGCACAAACAGACTCCAGCAGCCAGTAGAATGGAGGTAGTTTATTGCTCCTCCAGGATACAGCACAGCACAGATGTAATCTGGTTACAGGAACTGGGGCTAAGAGGCCTCAGTGCCCCCTTTGAGATGGGGGGATCCCAGTCCCCCTCCCCCAGTTCCTTCTTCCCTGCTTTCCAGACAAGAACTAACTCACTCTCCTCCAGCCCTGCCCCCCAGCCAGGGCAGCATCCACCTTCCTTTGTTCCTCTCCATGGGGGTCAGCTGGCCAAACCAGTTGGGATACCCTCTTTGCATAGTGACTCACCGCTTGTCTGCTCGGTGGAACTACAGACAGCAGCCAGAGAGTTAACAGGTTACCCCCCAGTACGTCACAGTTGGACATTAGGAAAAAGTTCCTAACTGTCAGGGTAGTCAAACACTGGAATAAATTGCCCAGGGAGGTTGTGGAATCTCCATCTCTGGAGATATTTAAGAGTAGATTAGATAAATGTTTATCAGGATGGTCTAGACAGTATTTGGTCCTGCCATGAGGGCAGGGGCCTGGACTCGATGTCCTCTAGAGGTCCTTTCCAGTCCTAGTATTCTATGATTCTATGATTCTCTTACACTATTTACTAATTCCAGGGCAGTGATCCAACATCAAGCTTGTGAGACAGGAAACCTTATCTGGGAATCATATTCTAAACTCTCTCACCTGCTAAAACCAAATCCACTAGCTGTATATAGTAATGAAGCTTTGGTTGCAAAAGAGCATGATAACCAAACAACTTACAGGAGCCAAGGTTGGCAAACTGTCAGTTGCTTTAGCAAAAGTAGTTTAATCTTCTGGTCATAAATTTAAATATCCTGTCCATGCTCCTGGAAAGTTGAGCACATGCTTAAATTTTATACATATACTTAAATATTTCCATAATCGAAGCCCTTGACTGTTTGCTGGGGAAGAAATGTTGACAACAAACACAAGATAAACTGATTGCTCGAGACAATATATCTTGAGTTCAGAAACTGTAATTAATGAAACATGCACAAAGTTCACAGGTCTGGATACTAATTCTTTTAAACAAAGGCATTTCTATTTATCTAATGTTGTGCTTTAAACTTTTATTTGAGATATATTTTCTTTTAGTAATTAAGCTTATCAGCTTTAATACGACCCTCTTTAAAAGACAAATTTTCGATTCCATATTAATTTATATTAATTTATGTGTGCATTGTCAGTTTCAGATCATTTGGTAGTGGTAGAAATGGTTCATTGGTTGTTTCTAATCCACAATAGCTGTAATTGAAGTTAGACCAAAAGTTAGAACTTGGATCCCTGTGCTTTCAAAGAGCTCTGCCTGATTCGACCGATGTTGTAAAGCCATAATAAAGTCAGTGGTGCTATAATGCAGAGCAGGCTGTACAGCTGGGGCTTTGGGCCATGACATTTTCACTATAGGAATCACAGGAAGTGTGGTACCAGATCAAGTCTATGCTCCATCTAGTCTAGTATCATGTCTCTCGCAGTGGGCAGCATGTTTCAAATGAATAGGTAAAAAGCCCCACAGCAAGAATTATGGTACAACCTGCTCCCTCATAGTTCGAAAAGTCTATAAACCCAGAAATGTGAGATTTTTATCCCACTGCCAATTCTTGTTTTGCATTAACTCTGGATATATTTGCTATTCATTCAATATGTCTTGAAATCTGACTAAGTTCAAGATTCTATCTGAGACATTTCAGATACAATTCTATGATTAAACTGGCAATATCAAAAACAGACTTTTAGTATTTGATTGTATTTTACAGAAATCAACCTGTTTTGTAAAAAATCAGTAAATTCACCAAGGCTACGTCTACACTGGCCCCTTTTCCGGAAGGGGCATGTAAATTTCAGCAGTCGTCGTAGGGAAATCCGCGGGGGATTTAAATATCCCCCGCGGCATTTAAATAAAAATGTCCGCCGCTTTTTTCCGGCTTTTAAAAAAGCCGGAAAAGAGCGTCTAGACTGGCCCCGATCCTCCGGAAAAAGCGCCCTTTTCCGGAGGCTCTTATTCTTACTTCAAAGTAGGAATAAGAGCCTCCGGAAAAGGGCACTTTTTCCGGAGGATCGGGGCCAGTCTAGACGCTCTTTTCCGGCTTTTTTAAAAGCCGGAAAAAAGCGGCGGACATTTTTATTTAAATGCCGCGGGGGATATTTAAATCCCCCGCGGATTTCCCTCCGACGACTGGTGAAATTTACATGCCCCTTCCGGAAAAGGGGCCAGTGTAGACGTAGCCCAACATAGCTATTATTTCTTCTAAGCCTTTTGGTTAATATCAACTTTTATCAGTTAATTTAGTGTCTGATACAATCTCAAAATCTCTTACAATCTCAACGATCTGTCAGATTTTTTGCCTATGATCCTTCTATGATCCTAGGAGCTGGAGGAGTAAAGAAAAGTAATTACCTATTTTGTCAATTAGCAGCAAAAAGACTTCAGAACAGATTGCTTATTTTGACACTCAACAAAAAATATTGTTTTGAAAATGAAAAAACACCTTTTAATTAATTAAAAACTTTAATTTGTATTAAGCATAACATCTTTTTACTTGAAAGTGGAAGACAGTATAGGGGACAGTGATCATGAAATAATAGGCAGATTTTGATAAGCTCAGAGAACTTGTAGGTAAGGTCCCATGGGAAGCAAGACTGAAGGGAAAAACAACTGAGGAGAGTTGGAAGTATTTCAAAGGGACGTTGTTAAGGGCCCAAAAGCAAACAATTCCGCTGTGTAGGAAAGATAGAAAATATGGCAAAAGACCAGCTTGGCTTAACAAGGAGATCTTGCATGATCTCAAAATAAAAAAGGAGTCATATAAAAAATGGAAACTAGGACAACTAACAAAGGATGAATATAGGCAAGCAACACGGGAATGCAGGGGCAAGATTAGAAAGGCAAAGGCACAAAATGAGATCAAACTAGCTACAGGCATAAAGGGAAACAAGAAGACCTTTTATAAATACATTAAAAGCAAGAGGAAGACCAAGGACAGGGTAGGCCCACTGCTTAGTGAGGAGGGAGAAGCAGTAACAGGGAACTTGGAAATGGCGGAGATGCTCAATGACTTCTTTGTTTCGGTCTTCACCGAGAAGTCTGGAGGTGTGCCTAACGTAGTGAATACAAGCAGAGAGAGGGTAAGTTTAGAAGATAGGATACACAAAGAACAAGTTAAAAATCACTTAGGAAAGTTAGATGTCAGCAAGTCACCAGGTCCTGATGAAATGCATCCCAGGATACTCAAGGAGCTGATAGAGGAGGTATCTGAGCCTTTAGCTATGATCTTTGAAAAATCATGGCAGACAGGGGAGATTCCAGAAGACTGGAAAAGGGCAAATATTGTGCCCATCTATAAAAAGGGGAATAAGAACAACCCAGGAAATTATAGACCGGTCAGTTTAACGTCTGTCCCAGGGAAGATAATGGAGCAGGTAATTAAGGAAATCATATGCAAACACTTGGAAGGTAATAAAGTGATAGGGAATAGCCAGCATGGGTTTGTGAAGAACAAGTCATGCCAAACTAATCTGATAGCTTTCTTTGATAAGATAACGAGCCTTGTGGATAAGGGAGAAGCGGTGGATGTCATATACCTAGACTTTAGTAAGGCATTTGATACGGTCTCGCATGATATTCTTATTGATAAACTAGGCAAATATAACTTAGATAGGGCCACGATAAGGTGGGTGCATAATTGGCTGGATAACCGTAGTCAGAGAGTTGTTGTTAACGGTTCTAAATCCTGCTGGAAAGGGATAACAAGTGGAGTTCCTCAAGGGTCTGTTTTGGGACCCGTACTGTTCAATATCTTCATCAATGATGTAGATATTGGGATAGAGAGTACTCTTATTAAGTTTGCAGATGATACCAAACTGGGTGGGGTTGCAACTTCTTTGGAGGATAGGGACATAATTCAAAATGACCTTAGCAAGTTAGAGAAATGGTCGGAGGTAAACAGGATGAGGTTTAATAAGGAGAAATGCAGAGTGCTCCACTTAGGAAGGAACAATCAGTTCCATACATACAAGATGGGAAGCGACTGTCTAGGAAGGAGCATGGCGGAAAGGGATCTAGGGGTCATAGTGGACCACAAGTTGAATATGAGTCAACAGTGTGATGCTGTTGCAAAAAAAGCAAATATGATTCTAGGTTGTATTAACAGGTGTGTTGTAAGCAAAACTCGTGAAGTCATTCTGCCGCTCTACTCTGCACTAGTTAGGCCTCAGCTGGAGTACTGTGTCCAGTTCTGGGCGCCACATTTCAAGAAAGATGTGGAGAAATTGGAAAGGGTACAGAGAAGAGTGACAAGAATGATTAAAGGTCTAGAGAAGCCTATGAAGCCAGGCTTCATGAACTGGGCTTGTTTAGTTTGGAAAAAAGAAGATTAAGGGGGGACATGATAGTGGTTTTCAAATATCTAAAAGGGTGTCACAAGGAGGAAGGTGAAAATTTGTTCCTCTTGGTTTCTGAGGACAGGACATGGAGTAATGGGCTTAAAGTGCAGCAGGGGAGGTTTAGATTGGACATTAGGAAAAAATTCCTAACTGTCAGGGTGGTCAAATATTGGAATAAATTGCCAAGGGAGGTGGTGGAATCTCCCTCTCTGGAGATATTTAAGAACAGGTTAGATAGACATCTGTTAGGGATGGTGTAGATGGAGGTTGGTCCTGCCTTGAGGGCGGGGGGCTGGACTCGATGACCTCTCGAGGTCCCTTCCAGTCCTATTATTCTATGATTCTATTTAATTATTTTCCTGTAAAATATTTATTTGCTTTATAGTGCTAAGCTCATTGCATTTAATAAAACAAGTATGCCAAGAGCAATTGTTTTTCTCCCATATTTCACAAACCTACTGGCTACGTCTACACTGGCCACTTCTCCGGAAAAGGCATGCTAATTTCGAACTTTGGAATAGGGAAATCCACGGGGGATTTAAATATCCCCCGCAGGATTTAAATAAACATGGCCGCCGCTTTTTTTCCAGCTTGGGGAAAAGCTGGAAAAGAGCGTCTAGACTGGCGCGATCCTCCGGAATAAAGCCCTTTTCCGGAGGATCTCTTATTCCTACTTTCCTTGAAAAAGCGGCGGCCATGTTTATTTAAATCCCGCAGGGGGTATTTAAATCCCCCGCAGATTTCCCTATTCCAAAGTTCGAAATTAGCATGCCTCTTCCGGAGAAGGGGCCAGTGTAGACGTAGCCACTCTGAGTGAACAAAGTCAGCAAGCCATTTGCATTTGGAGTATTTATAATAGGCTCTGTACTGAACAGCCTGCCTTTCCTTATAATAAACTTTCTTATTTTCCCAATCCCTGTCCTTTTAAAAATATTCTGTTTTCTAATACTTACAATTGCTTCAGTTCTTATTATATAACAATTTAGTTTCATGTGTAGCAATAGAACAAAATATACATTACATTTTGAGCCAGATCATCAACTGGTGTGAATTGGTGTAACTGCATTAAAACCAGTAGAGCTATGCAGATTTATACCAGCCCAGAATCTCATTCAAACACTTACCTGTTTCTACTTTCCTTGAATTACTGGGGAGAATCAAGCAAACAGTTTTGCAATGGTATTTGTGAAAGAAAACTGTTTTACAACAGGGAAAAAGGATGACAGCAGAATAACCACTACATCAAGAAATATTGACGTTTCACAGGTAGAATTTTTTTTAATTTCTACGTTCTCGGAAGCAGAGGAACTGGAAATCTTTGAGCCAGTAACTTGGAACTGTTCAAAATTATCTTACTAACTACATAAATATGCTCCTTCATCTATTTAGCAAATAAGCCCTTATGGTGGTTTGATATATTAAAAGCATGGGTGGTCATACAAATTCAGGTCATTTCAAGTCTAAATAGATTTCTTAGAACAGCCTGTTACTAAAAGGAACAGAGTAAAATTTGTTTGCTCTTAAAAGGTATGACTGAAATCCCTTTGAAGTCAATGGGAGTCTTTCCACTGATATCAGTGGGCTTTGAATCAAGACCAAGTATTTTATGCTATAATGATGTACAGAAAATAAACTGTACTTACAATTTTATAAAAATTCTCCTAATTATTCTTTTAAACAGACTTCAGAGTATGTCTTCTCTAACATAAAATGTATTACCGCAGCAATGGATGTAACAGAAAATGAATTTCCTATATTAGAATGTGAGTATTGAAGACATGTTTTATATTTTCTCGGCCAGCACTAATTACAGCATGGAAATAATGTAAGGCAAATTTTTGTGGGACTAGTAATAACTCTGCACATTATGAAGATAAACTGAAGCAAGACTCTTAGCATGAGGTAAGATTCCAGAAAATGGTTCTATATAAAGATGGGTGAGTAGATGAAGAATTGGAAGTTCTGTGTTTCATTAATACTGAAATAATTTAAAAATTAAACCACTTAAGAGTACACAAACCAGAGAGATGGAAACACTGTTGCTCTTCTATTCAAGATCATATTTGATTGTCACCCAGATTTCAGTCATTAAAGAAGTGATACACATTAAAGCTTTAATCTCTTTTGCAACATATCACCAGTCTTCAATTCCTTTTTAACTATAAGCTCTACTGTGCTATGTTGGTGGGGATGTTTACTTCGCATTTTCTCTTTCCAGCACTTAGAAATGTTGTATTGATTTAAGAACTATTTACCTAGTACATTCAAGGTTATTGTGACATTGGATGTTCCAAAAGGGTTTCTTGCTTGGCATGTGAATGCTCCAGAATCATTAACTCCCACTGAACGGATGCTCAATGTTAATTTCTTTTCATATCCATAATCACCCACATTCTTGCTTTTGGTTTTAACAGTCTGTCGGTAAAAAACAATTAACATCTAAAATACTGTGTATGCAGCAGCCATCCTCGATAAATTAAAAATAGAAGTAATTATAACTTCACTGCATTAATATTCATAACTTTAAACCGGAATAATAAGCCTGCATGACAAACCTGTTGCTGGAACCTCTCCATACAAAACAACTATACAATCAATGCTCTGTGAAAAATAATGGTCTTCCCAAAGCTGAATTCCCTTCCTCTTGTTCTTTATTGCCTCTCCTCCTCAAACCGCACTCCTACGCCCTTAGTCTGTTGGGTTTCACTGGCCCAGCTCTCACTAAATGAAGGTCCCATCTTATTGAATGCTGAGTGCCCTCATATCCAAATGGTTTCAATGGAAGCTGCATGCACATAGAACCATGCAATTAGATTTTATAGTCCTTAAGGAGGGGATATAATCTGTTCACGTCTGAAGAATACCAGAGAATTAGAAATGGGACAAGCCCACAACATTCAAATAAAAATCTCTCCAAATATTGGTGTTTGTGTCAGTAGGCCAAGGCCAGTTCACTTGAGGTAAATTTCTAGCAGAAAGTATTCAGATTCTGCAGAAAGGAAATTTCCATTCATATTAAAAGTAACATTTCCCGTCCTTCTGTGTTGAGACCAGACTGAGACATTTGCATTGAATTTCACTTTGACGTTGCCTGGAAGTAGGGTTGCCAGGCGTCCGGTTTTGAACCGGACAGTCCAGTATTTGAGCTTTCTGTTCAGGAAACAAATTGAGCAAATAGAAATGTCCGGTATTTTCTAAATAAGATGTAATGTAGATTGTGATGTAATGTCAAGTGTGTCCGGTATTTTTGTTGAAACCATCTGGCAACCCTACCTGGAAGGTGAAGCTAGAATATGGCTTCTGGGCTGATCGTTGGTGCACCAAACAGCATGTAAATAAAAAAGTACCCCAAGAGTTGCTCTGGCTCTCAATAAAGTTCCAGGTATAATTTAAGGGGCTAGTTTTAAACTGCAAAGTCCTCATATAGCTTGAGAACAGGCACCACTTCACTCTTGGGCCTTTCCGTCACAGCTGAACTCAGCAAAGGTGATCAGCATGGAGCTTTCTCAACACAAACAACAAGGAGTTGCCAGTAGGCCTCCCCAGTTTTGGAACGCATTTCACTCTGATCTGGATGCATCTGGATGTGTTAATTCTGTTCGTAATGGGAAGCCATTTTTTTCCCTCAAACACTTAATTTTTGGGGGGTTGTCTATAAGGGATAAGGGCTGCGAGCTGAAGAAAGATTTTAAGTGGGATCCTATGGTATGGTTGAGTAGTAAGTGCTTTTAGTTTTCTGTGGCAATATACTATTTAACTGAGATGACTTGTCATTTGCAATTAGATAACAGCATAATGCTGACTTGTTTTTTAGATGTTCTAATGAAAATGTTTTCATTTGTAGAGGTGCTAAAGATTTCCAGAAGTTTCTTCCATTAAACAGTTAAGATACTTTGCCTCTTTATTGTTCATATTTAAGTTTTATATGGAAGTGCTTGTTTGAAACAGATCTTCCACTGATTTTCAAAATCAGCAATAACTACTAACGATCTGGGAAGCAGTGAACATTTTTTACTTTGACTTATTCAAGCCAATATGCAATTCTGCCTCTATTGAAATTAATTAATTGTATGTATATTAGCTGTTCCAATGCAAAATTTAATTTAACATTCTCTGTTTAAATGATTGTTTCTCATGATATTTATCAAACAAGACTGAAAGGTCAAACATATATTTTATTTTTCTTGTGGATTTTTCTTTATAAAAATTTAAAACAATATTGCATGAAAAAATGTATTCAGGAAAAGATCCCAACCTTGCTGCAATCAAACAAGAAAATAAAAATGCTCAAATGCAAGATTTATAGTTAACCTTGGCAAAAAACCAAAAGCCCCATCTGCAAGTACCATACTGCCTACATGTCATTTAGGCTTTCTTAACTCTTGAAGCTGTGAGCTGGGATTTCCCAACAGATATGCACTTAGTGACAGAAACGCTGCCAGCATCAATGGATTATCTAGGAATGGCAAAGAAAGCCCTAGAGAGTCAATATCCAGGCAATATTTGCTTGAGGTTGCATGATTTATCTATCATTACAGTAACATAGAAGCTTTTTTTCTATGCACACATGAACAGCAAATTATGTATTCATTACCATTAACTGTAAAAGGCCTGCTAATTAACATGGGATTGTATGCTGCAGGAGTAGTAGTAGGTCTTATTACCAATAACAACCTGTTTGGAAATTTCAGGTACTTTTATAAACTATGGCCAAACTCTTCAACACTGCTGAAATCTTGCAGCTCCTGTTAAGATGAACAGGATTCTGGGAGCTCAGTAGTTCTGTATTTAGGTACATCAATACGGGCAGGCTGATCTTCAAATTTAAGAACCTAATATCAGATTTGAAAACGCTGGCTATGTGAAAGTTATTCTCTCCTTGGGCTGTGATAAGTGATGGGGGTAGCCCACACAGGAAAGCAGGAGAATGCCTGGTGACCCTACTTTATTCTGCATGGTGTTGCAAGGACAAGTCACAGTCCTCTCCTAAGTAAGAAATGAGGTAAACTGAAATTGGCCAAATGTTACTTACCTGAGATAAATATATACATACCTTCACAGAAGTTTTATTTTAATTAATAACGACATAAATGCTTTTCTAAGTTCCTGTTGTTGTTGGGGTTTTTTAGACAGTCTTAAAACTTAAATGATCTCACCGTGTTATTTTGAGGAATCCAATTAGCTTGCAACGAGCTATCTACATCTGTTATTGTGCATGTAACTTCAAATTCTTCCCCTTCTTTGAGAAGCTGGCTGGGTTTGGATAAGGTGATAACTGGGAGGGTTTTGTGAACTGGAAAACAATTTATAAGTGAATTATTTTTCATTACATTCAGAGCTTCCAAGAAGGATAAAAATAAACAGTTATTATAGTTGGGGTACTAAGCAAGCCACAGGCTTGTGGTTGTGAGGGCTCAGGAATTTGGGTTGGGGTATGTGAGGGGTTCAGGGAAGGGGGTTCCAGTGTATGACAGGCTCAGATGTACGGTATGGGGAAAAGGGGAGTGCAGGAGTGTTATGATGCTGTGGCCAATGTTGGCCAGGCTTCATTTTTAAATAAAATACTATGTAAAACATAAAAAGTTTCTGAGTTGTCTTTATTTATGGGAAGGGCAGGGACCTGTTTTGAGTCAGAGGTCACTGTCCCACAGAAAAGTCAGTTGGGACCACACAAGTGAGATGCAAAAAAAAAAAAACCACTCCTCCAAAACACCCCCAAGCCTCACTAATGTGGCCCCAACTGTGCTGGTGGGAGCAGGGGACATGGTACTGGGGAAGGGTGTTGGCGGGAGTAGGGGGGCAGGGGACAGGGTTTTGTGGCAGGAGGAAGGGTGCCAGAGGGGACAGAGAGTCCCCTGCACCAGCCTCCTT